ATACTTGAATAATTGATTTATCTGACAATCGTTATTTCTAGAAAAATAATGAATTTATTTTTATTCTCAAAAACTGTTCGTCGGGTTTCTTATATTTTGCTCGACAGGAAGGATAATTTTGCGCGTTAACCAAACAGAGTTCTTTTGTGTGGAAAGAGCTAATTTTCCCGTTTTATTCATAATTCATCTAATGCTAACATCTCTCCACTCTAACAAATTTGTAATGTTTCTATTTTGGATTATTTCTGCTTTGTTTTCCCCTTTTCAAGTGACATTGAATGTACTCCATTCTGTGCGTTAAATGTGCTTTTGGAGTGTGCTGCTTGCGTAATTACAAATCATTCCGAAATGGAAGAATATATTGGCAAATAAATTTATCCAGGAATCTTTGCAAAGAGGCAAGCTTCATCAAAATCTCCCGGACGTTGTATTCAATTACATTATTTTGAACTCTTGGCTTCGAATCCACAGCTACACCTTCTTTGAGCCAGTCTACTAATTACTTTAATTCCCGGCTGACGAATTTCACGTCTTCACTATTTGTGAAACGATCCTATTTTAAGCTCGGAGACAAAAGTAATATTGAATGTGGGGTTTGGCCAGTTCTCTCACTATTCTGTGGGGATTGATGTTTTCAAAGGCGAAACACTTTTGTTGGTTTTTACTTAACTTACATATGTTGGTTAAAAATGTGCAACAACATCCCTATAAAATGTGAAGCATGTTGTTACGGCACAAAACAAACAACCCAGGTCCAGATAGGCAATTTATCATCTCTATTCAAATTGCACACACGTGAACCACCAACGATGTGCCAGTAATGCAATAAGCGAGCGTTTCCATTTCAAGAGTCAACGTCACCGATTCACGTCAACTAGGTTTGTGGGGGTAAATTACAATTCTCTAAAGAATCAATTGGGTACCGGTTAACAATTCAAACAGTTTTATTGCTGGGAATTTATCACATAACGCAGCCAATAATTGACAAAGTAGCCGTACATCAAGCAGTCTGAATACAGTATACTTAGTTAAAATTATATATTTCGTCGATACTTGCATAAAAAATGTTCAATCGATAATCCCTACAAACAGTAATTTCCGCCCTATTTTAAACACTTTAAAACCATAGAAAAAAATTAAGAAGTACGAAAAAAACTACTACATCTGTAATTTTCGCATCCACTTCAAGCAGAAAAAGTGCACTCTTTTATTTTTTTCGCGAAATTTCTCGGAATGGAAATGGGGTATTTGCCATCCGGAATTTTTAAAAAGTACAATATAATTTATGCAAATACATTATTTCCAGTATTAGGTACATTAGGCTTCGGGTAAAATTCTATGTCAAAAATCTCTTAGGGTGAGATGGATGAGGAGCAAAGGACGAGGGAAGACCCTGGAAGAGAGCGCACGGGAGATAGAGGACGCGGATAAAGCCGGAAATTAATCAAATTTCTTCACTTTTACTCTTAACAATTACAATTTACTTCTTTCGTTACGTAAGGTGATTGTGATTAATAAATGCTCGTAGGGCCAACGCCGTAATTACTGCCGCTTTATTTGGATTACTAAAGAAACTCATCTTTTTCGAAGGTCCATGTTTTTTTATTTCTGTGGTAACTGTTTATTCAATTAAATAATTTTATATACTTTAAATATTATTATATTATATATATATATATATATATATATATATATATCTAAATATGATATATTAAGTTTAATTCCGTTATCAATTGTATTGCTTCTTTATAAACAAGCTTCATGGTTATTCCCGAGCTGACATTGACCTCCTAATTCGTATGTTGAGGCAACAATTGCAATCATACTCCATTTGCAACTTAGCTACAAATCGACCTCGTCTATAACGTCCAGTAAATAATTTATTTATGCCAAAATAATTTATTATTTCTTCTTAGAGTATTTAAGTATATTCTTTTAGTTTTTATTTTTTTTTGTATTTTCAGTGTGGTTAGAAAATAAACTAACTTTATTCTGAATAAAGTGGTACCCCCTGAATATCAGTTTTCAAGTTATGGGCTTATGTTCAATATCCATAAAAGACAGGGGTGTCTAAATTAGGGCGTGCTATAAAACAAAAAACTCCACATTGCTAAAGCGTAATTTAGGGAAGAGATCCCTTCCATGAAATGTCAACGGTGACTTTGTATTTATTAGCTTCACTTCAAACCACGGGGAACAGAAGACCTCTCCACCTCTAGTTTAACTACAGGCTGTTCTTTGTCAGTCTCAGAAAACCTTGTTTTCGTAACGAGTGCAGATTGGCCTCAAAACTAGTAACAAGAGTGCGATTGTATGTATCTCCGGGACGACTGATTAGCGTGGCAGTTACAAGAACCTAACCTTGAGGGTCTTCCGTTTCTGATAACTAACAAAACTATTTCGCAAGGAGACTTCAGAAAGGTTAAATTTTTTCCAAACGTCAAATTTAAAGAAACGATTGCTAATTATGAACTTGTATATGGATTCATCATTTAGATGTACTACATTTCTTTACGTTTGACTTACGATTTCATTAACGAAGACTTAGGCAATGAGTTGGTCCATGAACAGTTTGTGATACTAATCATGTATGACTATTATAATAGTGAATAAGGTAACATGTGAAAATAAAACAATATTAATTCAGGAGGGAAATCTGAATATTTTGTGAAATAATGGATATCAAATAATTTGATTATTTATTACAACTCGCAAGAAGTTTCTACAGTTATTAGAAATTTGAGAATTTATTTTAAACACAATTTTAATGATATTGAATTTAATATAAACTTCATCTACGCTGAACTTTTAAGAATATATTCACTATTAAATGATTTACGAGTTTGTTTTTGATACTATATGAATAAATTTCTTCGATTTATCAACCCTGAATATAATGAATTCCGTTTTCTGGTGTTTGCAATAATTTGACAGCATTCGTTTTCTATTACTTTGTTTTTTTCACTCCATTATCATCAGTTAACATATTGAATGGGAATATGAATTTTTAACCAGTAGAGGTGGCTCAGAATATCAACTGATGTCACTGCAGTGCCTCTGACCCGAAGGTCCTAGTTTCGAGTCCCGACGGCGGCAGGAATTTCGACACTAGCTATAGAGCTAGGTCGAGTTCTGTCGCTGCCTGGAGAAGATTTCTAGCAGCCGGCTGCTCTTATTGGTGGTTTTCCGTGATTTCTCGGATCAACGCCAGGTAAATGCCCTGAGCAGTACTCTAAAAACGGGACACGGGCCAAGCGCGGACTTTCCTTATCATTCTTTGTCCTAATCTCACCTCTTACTTACATACACTTACACTTACATCCACTATACTACCACACTAGCAGGGACACCGGTCAGGAGTTTAGAGCTTGTTCAGGGTAGGTGTTGATCCACGAGTGGGAGATGCCTGGTTGCGGAAAATCCGACTAGCCCACAGGACGTTCGACGCCGGATCTCACCATCCAGCAGGGGAAGATCACCGCCACCCCTCGAAGATCAAACTACACTTACGGGACTAACGACATTAGGCGTTGACGCGCCCGGAATCACCTATCAATTAAGCAATCGGAAGTTTAAACACGGCGTAGCGTGCGACAATCAAGTGCACTTCTGACTCTTTCCGCATGCGACAACTCGAAGTCCAAATGATAGCAGAACTCACTAAACCGCCGACTTAGGACGCATTTTAATCGATCACTCGGACATGCCTAATGGCATTTGTTCCCAACTCCGGAATGTGTGGTACGAACTAAATATTTCCATGATGCTACATGAAGTTGGAGGCATCTTACATATAATAACCTATACTTATTGCAGTAGTTATTTTTATTTAATAATCTAATACTTATATAATAATACACGTAGATAGAAGTTAATGATTGATAGCCAAACTCTATTCTATCAAACGCGAATCAAGAGGATGTGGCATTAAAGAAATTCAGTGCTTACTCTGCCGCCACAGCAAAAACACTTTCTCGACTTCATGCGCAATTGAACATGTGATTGCTGTGCGCTACGCTTTACAAAATGTCTCCCTGCGAGGGTAGTATCTCACAGTACAAACTCGACCGCGAAGATATCAGACATCGAAGTTTTAGGTTTCAGGAAAAGTCTGAAATAGCCTCAGAGCGCTTTCACAGAGCGAGTCATTTCTTTTGTCGGAAATTACTACTAGCGGCCGCGCGCGCCTTAACAAATAGCCGCATTGAGGCGAATGTCATTTCTTAAAGCGCCTGGCTGGGAGCGGCGCAATACCGCGCCCGCGCCGGGCGCAAGTGCGTACGCGGGGCGGTATCGAGCGGGCGGCGGAGTAACACCAGCGGTCGGCG